TGGTCTAACCACAAACTGGCCAAAGCTGCCCTGATTTACATGTGTTTGTCTTGGGCTGATGTTTGCACAAGCCCAAACACTGTGATCACACAAGGTGAAGTGACCTGTTACCCTGGGGCATCACCCCTGCAGAGCACAGTCTGGGGCAGGTTCAACATCCACAGAGGCCTGGAAATGGAAAGTGGGGTCCCAGCAGCAGCCCTGGGTCACTGGTTCTTCCTGGCCAACTTGTGTTCAGAAAGCAGCAAGGAAAGTCTCTCCTGTCACCACCAAGTAGCACTTCTGCTTCATGGTGCTCGTGGTCCTTCCTGGGCAGCTGTGGCACCTTCTGCCAGCCTCATCCCTTCCTCCATCTTGCCATGGATAGCCTGGAGCCAGTCCCAAGGCTCCTCATCCAGGTGTGAGCACCAGCTCTGCCCCCGAGGCCAATTAGTGCACTTTAAGCAGCAGGTTGGAGAGGAGTTTCTGTGTTCCCAGTCTGCCCACTTGGTCCCATTCCCCACAGACTCTCTTCCGCAGGGAACAGGTCACAGGGGTGCCAGTGCCAATTACAAAAGCCCAGAGCACTTCCCCTGCTCGTCTGGCACGTTTGTGAGACGTGCAAACAAGGCCCAGAGCGGGCTGTCAAAAGTTGTGGGCTGTCAAAAGTTGTGGGCTGTCAAAAGTTGTGGGCTGTCAAAAGTTGTGGGCTGTCAAAAGTTGTGGGCTGTCAAAAGTTCAAGGCAGCCACTTTGTTCACACTGCTGGAATCAGTGGCATCCAAGTGCACCCACGTTCAAAGGGGCCATTTCCCCAAATGGAATAATTGCAAGGGCGTAGGAGAAAACCCCAAAACTTTAACAACGAGAAGTGTGAGCCAAGAATTATCAGTTAGTGACGTGCCAAAGGAATATCCAAAAAGGGAAGCACAACATAAAAGGTAAAAACAGTCAAGTTTAATAACTACAAGAAAAACACACAAAACCGAGTAAATCCTCCAGGAATCAACAAACCACCAATTTAAAAAACACCAATAAAGTATCAGCAGCATCGGGGACAGCAGCTCTCAGACCTGTGTGAATCCTGAGATTCACAGGATCCTGAGCAGATCCACCCTGGACACTGCTGGGGACAGGGACAGCAGCAATGTCCCGCAGATCCCTGGATCTGTACCTGGAACAGAACAACGACCATTTGATCCCAGGACAGCCTCGCTTTCCAACCTGGCTGCATGTGAGTGAGGACAGCATGGTTCATCTTGCCCTGCTGATGCCTTTTTTAGGCTCTTTTTCCCGCTTTGAGCCTAAAGCACAGTGGGAACAGCCAACAGAGAACCCGAGGCCCACCACCAGCAAAAGCAGTTGCAATCCAACCGGAACAAGCAATCTCTGATCCACCTGGCCCTGGACCAACTCCCCTGTCTTATTCACACCCAGCCAAGCTCGAGGGCCAGTGAGCTGCACAGCCGGACTGTCAGTGGGGGCATTGCTGGAGGAGCTCTTCCTACAGCCCCCCAGCACCCGCCTGCTGCACCAACAACCTGACCCCAGGGAGCACAACACCACGCACACGAGGCTCTGCCTCTCCCACAGTCCCTGAGGCATGGCACAGCTCTCCATCCAGTGCCCCAACAGAGCACCCACGGGCGCTGCCAGCTCAGCAAAGCAAAGCCCTAGCGCAGGTAACTCAGGTCACCTGTGCCTGGCCTGCCCGGAGCACGCGGTGCACGCGCTCCTCGGGGCTGTAGAACACCTGCCCCCGGCGCAGCCGCGGCTCGTCCTGCTCGTACCAGCGCCGCTCATCGAACTCGGGGAAGAAAAAGGCAATTTCTCTGCTGGCTGAGGCGGGTGAGTCTGTCGGAAAAGAGGAAAAGGCGATGGGAGATGCCTGTCCGGCACCACAGACACGTGCTGGGCTCCAAAGGCACCTGGCTCGGCCACACCTGGCTGAGTGTGCGCGGAGTCTGCACCAGGGAACGCATCGTCCACCTGGAGCCCCACAACTAAAGCAAAGGCAGACAAAGCACCATCGTTCCTGCCTCCCTGAGCACCAGCCAAGCAGGACAGGCCTACCTGAGCCGTGGGTGGTGTTCCTGGTGTCCGTGAGGCCGTAGGCTCCTCGGATGGAGTCCGGGTCACTGTGTCGGGCTCGGAACACTTTGGTGGGTCCCATCAGGGATCTCCAGTGAGGGACAGCGTTCTCGTGGGCCAGGATGTAAGCCCACATGGGGCCACTGCGGGAAGGGCCCAGGAGAAGCAGAAGAAAAGGTTACAAAGGGAACAGCTCGTTCGTCCTTGGAAACCTGCACAGTGCGGCTGCCAAGGGCTGCTCTGCCGGGACCCCGGGACGGGGCACGGACCTGTCCTGCAGGACCCCGACCCTCCTCACCCCGCGGCCGGAGCCTCCCAGCTCCGCACACCCCGCACACCCTCCGCGGCTCCCAGCGGGGCTCCCATGGCCGGGCGGCCCCTCCACACGCGGGTCACCCCGCACACCTGCGGCAGGTACCTGGCCATGAACTCCACGAGCCGCTGGTAGAAGAACCGCCCTGCGGAGAGACACGGGCCGAGTCAGCGCCGGGCCCGAGGCAGCGCCCCGCTCCCGCCGCGCCCCGCTCCCGCAGCGCCGCCCGTACCCGCGTGCTCCCGGTAGAAGCGGCGGCTCTGCTCGGGGCCGCACCGCAGCTCCTTGGCGCGCACGATGAGGAACCGGTGGCGGAGGATGGCGGCGTGCACGGCCTGAGGAAACAGGGGCGTTGCTGGGCGGGCGGGCCGGCGCGGTGCCCGGCGCGGTGCCCGGCGCGGTACCGCCCTGTCCCGCCCGGCGCGGTGCCCGGCGCGGTGCCCGGCGCGGTGCCCGGTGCGGTGCCCGGTGCGGTGCCCAGCTCTCACCTCCCGCACCAGCGGGTGCGCGACCGCGTCCGGTTTGAGCAGCGCCAGCGTCAGCTGCAGCCGCGGGGCCGCCATGGCCGCGCCACACGGGCGGGGGGCGGGGCCGGAGGGGCGGGGCCGGGGCCCGATGGGGGCGGAGTCGGAGGGGAGGCGGGGCGGGGGCGGGGCCAGGAGCGGTCCCCGCGCGTTGCGTGGCAGCGAGGACGCGCAGGCGCGGCCATGGCGGCGGCGGCTGAGGGGCCGCGGCAGCGGGAACGGGAGCGGGAGCGGGAGCGGGAGCAGGAGCGGGAGGAAGCCCGGGACGGGACGCAGGACGAGGCCGCGGCCGGCGCTGAGGAGACGGTGAAGATCATCTGCCTGGGCGACAGCGCCGTGGGCAAGTCCAAGTGCGTGGGGGCGCGGGGGGCGCGCGGGGCCCGCGGCGGGGCCCGCGGGCTGACGGCGGCGCGCGCTCTCTCCGCAGGCTGCTGGAGCGGTTCCTGCTCGACGGCTTGTATCCTTGGGAAAGGGACAGCGGGGAGCGAGACCGGCGGAGGGGGGGCCCGGGCTTGTATCCTTGGGAAAGGGGCAGCGGGGCAGCGGGGCCGGCGGAGGGGGGGGCCGGTGGTGGCGGCGGAGCGGGGTCGGCGCCTCTCGGTCGGCTCCTTAACGCGCCGCAGCCGCCCGCAGCAGCTCTCCACGTTCGCGCTGACGCTGTACCAGCACCGCGCCCGCGTGGGCGGGCAGCAGGTCCGCGTGGGTGAGTGGGGACAGCCCGCGGTGCGCCCGGGGACGTGGCGGAGGGAAGAGCTGGGGAGGGGGGAGATCTCCTCGCTCTGGATCTTGGTTGGGTCTTCAGATAAACTACAATATCCTGACGAATCCGGTGGCCTTCTGTGACGGGACTGCAGCGTTGATGGATGGGGCAAAGCGACTGCCATCATCCCTCTGGGCTTGGCAAAGCTTTGGGCACTGTCCCCGCGATATCCGGGGCTCTGAGCTGGAGAGACAGGGGGATCGGTGGGTGGGTGGATGGATGGACACTCGGGGATGAGGAACGGGCTGGATGTCTGCATGCGGAGTCGTGGTCATGGCTCATTGTCCATGTGGAGACCAGGATGAGGGGGGTCCCTCGGGGGTCTGTCGGGGTTGGTGCCAACACTGTTCAACATCTTTGTTGTGACAGGGACAGTGAATGCAAATGTGGTCTGATGGGGACCTGTCTGTATTTAGGCATTTTAAGAAGTCACCATCCTGCAGGTCTGGCCCAGTGTCCAGTCAGACACCAATATTAGAGCAGAGGAATCCCTAAGAAAAGTGGTTTACAGCCTACTTGGATTTGGGTGCAGCAGCACGCTTGGGTCCAGCTGACAGAGGTGTGACCACATTGGGGTGCTTAGCTGAAGCTGTGCAGATTTATGCAGCAAACCAGACCCCGATGTGAGCCTACAAACCTGGTACCAACAGCAGAAGGCATTGCAGGATCCAGGTGTACACGGTGTCAGCTGACACCTGGTGTACACGGAGCTTCATGGACTGGGACCTGTCTGCCTCAGGCTGACTTAGCTCCAGCACCTCAGAGCAAGTCCTGCCCCTGGGAGGCAGAGCTGGATATCTGCGAGAGGAGATGGAGCACTGCCTTTGGCAGGGCCCTGGCTGACCATCACTGGGTCAGAAAGCAGCAGTTTCCGGCAGCTTTTGGAGGCTTAGTTGGTTTCCCATTGTCATCCCTCGTGACAGAGGACCAGGCATTGCTGCTGTTCTTTTCACTTCTGCCTGGTGTCTTCCTGCTGTCCCATACAACTCGTGTCACTGGTGTGTTCTCCTTTGCTCGTGGCCAGTGCCAGCACAGCCTCAGCTGAGCCCAGCTAAGGAAAGCTCCCAGTTGGGCACGATCTCATAACCCTTGAGTGTTTTGGATTGGGGAGGTGAAACCCAGTTTGTGACCCGGAGCAGGTGGGCTGGGCTTTGCCTCCGGGGGGTAGGTTGTGAGGAAAACAGAGTGACTTGTGTGGTTCTGAACTGTTTCTGTGTTACAGACTTCTGGGACACGGCGGGCCAGGAGCGGTTCCAGAGCATGCACGCCTCCTACTACCACCAAGCCCACGCCTGCATCATGGTGAGGGAGTCTGGGCCGGGACCTGGTGGGATTTGGGCTCGGAACGGTCCCACTGACACTTGGCCTTTGTGTTGCTTTTATGGTTATGCTGCCATTTATTCCTTGTCTCTTCCAGTGGTTCAAAACATTTTCCTAGGTTGTTCTTTCTTCTCTCACCAGATAAAGCCTCTGTAGCTGGGCTTGCTCTGGTCTGTCTCTCCTGGCAGCACTGTCCTCCATCTCTTGGCTCTGCTGTCCTCTCAGTGTCCTCACATTTGTCCCTGTTCCCAGTTTCATGGCTCCTCACCTGCTCATGGCTCCTGGTTTGTCCTGTTAATCCCACTTTCCACTGTACCTCACCACCTGGGAGTGTGAGTCACCTCACTTTAGTTGTCAGAGGAACTAAACAGAGATGAACAGAGAACAGAGGATGCCACATCTCACCCTGCTGGGCGCTAACTGTTCCCGGTGCTGGCTCCCTGTGTAGGTGGCAGGGACTTGTCACAGGACACAGTCACAGTGTAAAGGACATCGAGGGGCTGTTTCCTGCTGGCTGCATGTGCTGGGGCTTGTGGATACTCTCCCTTTCTCCTTCATCCTTTCTAACAACACCCAGTTTCCTTTGTCATGTCCTCCTGGGAACATTCTGGGTTCCGTCCTTGTGTTGGTCAGAGATGTGCCAGGCTGCTGGGAGCTGTCCAGGGTCAGTCACAGCTGTCCTGGATTGGCCCTGGCACAGCTGGTTCTCTTTTGGAAGGTGTTTGATGTGCAGCGGAAGGTCACCTACAAGAACCTGAACAGCTGGTACAGGGAGCTGAGGGAATTCCGCCCGGAGATTCCCTGCATTGTGGTGGCCAACAAGATTGATGGTGAGTGTACCTTCTGCACCCAGCCTCCCAGGGCTGTGGTGGGATTCACTCTTGCCTCAGCTGAGAACAAATGTCCCTCGTCTGTTGGGTCCAGAGGACTTCCTGAGTCCCCTGGGCTGGGTCCTCTGGGTCCTCTGCTGATCTCACCTGCTGTCTCACTGCTGTGTCACCAGCAGTTAAAAATGCAGATTTGATCCATTTGAGGTTTATCCAAGTGATGTCCTTTCAATTCCTTCCTTACCACGCTGCCCATTCCATCCAGAAAGAACCCAAAGGGGATTGGAGCAGCACCTGGTCAAAAATGGCAGGAAAAGGAGAAAAAGCTGTTTTGTGGCTTCCCCAGATGACTCAGGGATGGCCTTGGTGCTCCTCCTTCAGCCTGCACAGGCTCCTCTGTGCTGAAGTGTCTCAATGTACCTGCTGGCAGAACTGTTCCCCTGGCTCTGCAGGTGGCTGGAAGGTTCCCTCCCGTTGGGAATGCCAGCCAGTCCCTCAAGATTGCTGGGGCTGTGGCTCTCTGGGTCCTGTGGCAGTGCCTGGTGTGGCACCCAGGGGACGCCCACCCTGGGGATCTGCCGCCCTGTCTGACTGACCCTGTCTCCTTTGTCTGCCCCAGCGGACATGAAGGTGACCCAGAAAAGCTTCAACTTTGCCCGGAAGTTCAGTTTGCCCTTTTACTTTGTGTCTGCTGCCGACGGCACCAACGTGGTGAAGGTGAGATGGGCTGGTTGTGTCCGGGGGGCCCCTCAGCAGCCCAGGGACACGGGGGCTGCTGTGGGCAGGGCAGCAGAAGAAGGGCTGGTCCATCAATTCAGCTCCCTGAGGGGCTGGTGGGTACCGAGTTTGCAGAGGGGTTTTGTTCCCTTGGGATTTGGGGACAGTCTCCATCTGCTACAGAAACCCGGTGCCCATGTGCCCCACCCTGGGAGTGATGGGCCTTGTCCTTTCCCCCAGCTCTTCAACGACGCCATCAGACTGGCCGTGGCTTACAAACAGCACTCGGGAGACTTCATGGACCAGGTCCTGCAGGAGCTGGAGGTAGGGAAGGCTCTGTCCCTGCTCCCTCTTTCTGCAGGAGCTGGAGGTAGGGAAGGCTCTGTTTCTCCTCGTGTCCTGAGGAAGGAGCAGCTCTGCCCTTTTTCCCGGTGGCAGAGGGTGGAACTGCAGCAGGGGAAGCTCTGCCCTGTGCTGGTGACCCGGGGAGTGTGTGCTGGGCTGGGCTGGGAGGGGCAAGACCGGGACCCTCAGAGGAGCCCCTGCTGCACTAGGCCGAGTCTGAAAGAGCCACAGCAGATGAAGCTGTTGCAGTCTCTGTCACTTCTCAGCAAATCCTTGTCCTGCTCTTTTCCAGAGCTTTGACCTGCAGAAGACGGACGAGGATTTGTCAGATAAAGAGAAGAGCTGCCCTGAAGAGGAAACCTCATCTGCCTAAGCCTGGTTTTCCTTTGCCACTGGACCCTGAGTCCGGTTTCCCTTGGCACTGCATTTCTGGGGCCTGCACAGAGAACAGGGATGTTTCTCGTGCCCTGGAGCTGTGATGATGGGCAGCTGGGCCTCTCCCTTCTTGTGGGAGCCCTTCTGGGCAGCATCTCCCTTGGCTTGGCCCTCACCACTGCACATCTCACTCAAGCCAAAGAACGAATGTGAACAGCCCAGCAGACTGACAGACAGAGCAGGGACCTTTCCCAGCCCGTGGGTGCACTGAGCAGGGCTGAAAACACAGTTAATGAGGAACACAGAAACTTTATTTCAGCCCCTCGGTCACGTCAGCATCGCTGTGGGTGCAGCGGAGCAGCGTGGGCAGGACAGAGCAGCCTCTGGCCCCAAGGCCACCTGTGGCCCAGCAGGAAATGGCCGTGGTCCACTGTAGCCCTGGATCCCGCTCATCCCGCTGCTCAAGCCTTTTTGTCCTTCAGGAAGCGCAGGAATTCCTGCAGCAGGTTCAGGAATTGCACCAGGATCAGCAGTGGGAATGCCGTGGGCATTAACGAGGCCGAGGAGGTCGGTGCCGGTCTCTGGCTGTGCTGGGGGATCGAGCTGATGTCTGGCTCTGGCCTCAGATGCTGCTCAGGGGTCAGGCTGATGTCTGGCTCTGTCACGGGGGTCAAGGTGACGGCTGGCTCTGGTTCTGGACCGGCTCTTTCTGCTGGGCTCAGGCCCGTCTGGAGCAGGATCCAGTTGTGGAAGTGCTGAGTGGAGGTGTAGATCCCGGGGTGCCTGGCTTTGTCACAGCCTCTTCCCCAGCTGCTCAGCCCCACCAGCCAGAAGTAGTCAGCTCTGTTGTCCTTGCAGACCAGGGGACCCCCGCTGTCCCCCTGTGGCAGGAGAGAGGGTTCAGGGTTTGTGGGGGGCTCCTCTCTGCCAGCCCCTGCCAGAGCCCCATTCCCAGCACGGGAAGGCTCTGCCTGGGGGCTGGAGCCTCCAGAGCCTCGGCTGGGAGCAGGCTGGGGGCTGTCCCATCTCTGCACAGTGGTCCCAGATGTGCAGAGGATGGATGATCCAGGGTCACATCTGCAGCTCGGGGCTGCCAGGAGCACTGGATGGGCTCTGTGGGCAGAGCCAGGCCCTGGGGACAAGGGGACACAGGGCAGGGACCCGTGGATGGGGAAGGGGAGGGCAGCCCTGGGATAGGGGACATGGGACAGGGCAGCCCTGGGATATGGGACATGGGACAGGGCAGCCCTGGGATAGGGGACATGGGACAGGGCAGCCCTGGGATAGGGGACATGGGACAGGGCAGCCCTGGCAGCAGTGGGGACCCGGGGCTGGGAGGTCTCCAGGCCAGGCCCAGCCCGTGGCATGTTTGGGGTCAGGGGGTCCCTGTGCTGAGGGGGCTGAGGGACTGGTGCCACGCTCCCACCTGGCAGGTGTCGATGCCGCCCTGTGGGTACCCAGCACACAGGTTTTCGGGGTGCACGGCCCCCCCGTACCAGCGGCTGCTGTTGCAGAGCTCTGTGTCCATGAGGTGGACCTTGGCCTCCTGCAGCACCACATCTGGTCCAGGAGTTGTAGAAACAGACAGGAATGAGCCTCCAGACGAGGGCTAATGAGCCTCCAGCAGCTCATTCCACAGTACCCATCCCCTCCCCTGCCTGGGGGTGAACCCCTTCCCCAGAACTGGCTTTGCCCCTGGAGCGACATTGTCCCGCTGTGTCCCTGCTGTTGGCTCTGGAGAAGGGGCCAGGCCCATCTCTCCAGAGTCTTCAGGGAGTCACAGAATGGTTTGGGCAGAAGGTTCCTCAAAGCTCATCCAGTGCCACCCCCCACTCTGGGCAGGGACCCCTTCCCCCAGCCCAGGCTGCTCCCAGACCTGGCCCTGCTGATGTCCTGCAGCCACAGCTGGACTGTGGCTGTGTCCAGCCCATGTCCCCGGGGTGCCCAGCCCATGTCCCTGGGGTGCCCAGCCCATGTCCCTGGGGTGCCCATCGCACCCTCAGGGCACACGTCCTTGTAGGGCCTCACCTCCTGGTGTGGCGAAACTCCATCCGGCGATGTAGCAGGATTTGAGCTCCGAGACCCTCACCGAGGTGTCGGGCACACAGCCCAGCTGGATGTAGTCGCTGCACTCCACGGGCTGGTCCAGCTCCAGCAGGGCAATGTCGTTCCTTGCCGTGGCAGCCACGTAGTGCTGGTGCACCAGGATCCTCTGGATGTGCCTCACCTCGGCCTCGGGGCCGGGCTGAGTCAGATCCGTGGCCCCCATCACCACGTCCCACCGGTAGACGTCCCTGGGGAGGAGGTGGAGAGAGGGGTGAGAGGGAGCAGAACCACTGGCTATGGCAGCTTCCCAACCTTCTGCTTCCCAAGGGAGAGAGGGAAGCAGAGAGGAAAGAGCCAGGATGGGAGCAGCACGTGGTGCTGTGACCTGGGCACCTGCCCGAGCTGTGGGGACACCCCTGTCCCTGCCCCTCCTTACCCGGCCCTGAGGAAGCAGTGGGCGACCGTGAGGACCCACTGGAAGCTGAGGAGGACCCCCGAGCACATGTGCCACGTGCCATTCTCCCAGGTGGCCTGGATGCTGACGATGCCGGGCCAGGCCCCCGGCTGGACCCCGGTGCCACCCACGACGCGGGACGTGCCGTCGGCAGAAGCCATCGAGTTGTGGTCGGAAGCCATGGGCCGGAGCCCGCAGGTCCCTCTGGAAGCACAAAGCCATCACTGCCCTGCCCAGGGGCTGCTCAGGTCCCCTGTTGTCCCCCCACACTGCGCCGAGGGGCAGCAGGGCCAGGGACCCCCGAGGACACGTCTGTGCCCCCGTTCTGCTGGGAACCCCCCGAGTGTTCCCGAGCTCCCTCCCACGTCCCAAGGCCACTGACTCGCAAGTGTCCCAGGTGCCACCCACGGGCCCGGCCAGGGCCAGCAGGACCAGGAGCCACAGCCAAGCCATCGGTGCCAGCGCACGTGGCAGTGCCAGGACCAGGGGTCACCTCCAGCACAGCCCCCAGCGTTGTGCCCACAGCACCCACAGTGCCCCTGGCCTGGGGCTGATGTCACAGAGGGGCCGGTTCCGTGTGCTGGGCACGGCAGGGAGGGACAGCACCGAGTCACAGAGCCAGGGAATGGTTTGGGTGGGAAGGGACTTTAACAACCACCCAGTGCCACCCCTGCCATGGGCAGGGACACCTTCCACCAGCCCAGGTTGCTCCAAGCCCCGTCCAGCCTGGCCTTGGACACTTCCAGGGATCCAGGGGCAGCCACAGCTTCTCTGGGCAACCTGTGCCAGGGCCTCCCCACCCTCCCAGCCAGGAATTCCTTCCTAACATCTAATCTGAACTTGCCCTCCTCCTGCTTAAGGCCATTTCCCCCTTGTCCTGTCACTACATGCTCTTGTCCAAAGTTCTTCTCCAGCCTTCTTTCAAGCCCCTCTTCGATAGTGGAAGGGGCTCTAAGTTCTCCATGGAGTCTTCTCCATGCTGACCAGCTCCAGCTCTCTCAGCCTGTCATGCCCTTGTTCCCACCCTGAGTGAATATTTTAAATGTGAGCCTTGCTGTAAAACAGTGGTGCACTGCTAGTTCACTACATTCTCCTTTTACCTATGTTTATTTACATCCATTCCAGAAGGGCATCTGACTTTATTCCAATACCTCAATAAATGAAAGTTTCATTTTTCTGCTCTGTAATTTGTTGAAGAAGTTTGTAGGAAGATGCCTGAGGGTAAAAAGATAACAGTGCTAAATTATAGGGGGAAATACAGTTGGTGACTCTCTGGATGGAACACGGTCAGTATTCCTGACCTCCCACACACAGCACAATCCAAGGGGGGCTAAATGGAGGGTGGAGCAGAGTGGAGACCCTGTGGCTCTGCCAGAACCTTGCAGAGGAGGGAACTCGGTGGTACCTTGTAGCTGATCAGCTGCACAGCAGCTGGAAGCCAAGGGAGATAAGGGAGGATAAAGTCCTGCTGTGCAATCAGCAGCCACGGTCAAATCCCTCTCCTTGGGCTGCCCGTGTCCCAATCCCAAGGTTGTCCCAGGTACTGGACAGAGATCCCCATCCCCAAGGTGTGACCACCCCTCACTGAGTGAGATGTATGACCAAGGTCACTCAGGCTCCACCTGAGCATAAAGAAAAATTATTGAAGGGAGTTAAGAAGTGGGGGAAGACTCTGCTGTAACTTTGGGATCAGACAGGGCTGAACCCGTCCCTGTGCCATGTGGGCCCATGGGGTAAGAACTGTACCCTGTGCATGCTGAACCAGGGGCTCAGGGCAGCTTTTCTTAGGGATTAGAGCTTGTCTGTGCATTGCTTTGATTACATTTTTGCAGTTAGATACTGTCACCAGCAATTTTCAAGCCTTACAATTTATTAATGAAGAGGGTTATTCTGTCAACCACTCATGTGAGTCCTTCATGGGTGCTGGCAGCCACCAGAAGTGGGTGGAGGTGTGGAGACCCAAGAGGGGGTTTCTGTGTTTGGCACGTGACCCTAAACAAGTCAGTCAAACCACCCCTAACTGATCTCAGGTGTAGTACCTCATAATTCACTACCAGACCCAGTGAGCTGCTCGGTGAAGGGTCCCCATAACAGGGCACTGACTGGTGGGGCACGAGGGTCTTGGCTTTCCTGGGGCACCAACAGACCAATCAAACATTGAGGGTTTGGGGAAATCTCCCCTTTTCACATGGTAGAGTTATCCAGAATCTTTGGGGAGATGCACCTCCTGTTTGTAGTTTTGTTTTAACCACTTTGAATTTTAGTCAGTGTTAAATCCAGGGCCTATGAGCCTTTACAGTCTGGCATTTTTCTTGCAGAAGAAAGAAGAGCTTTTTGGGTTTCTTTGTAGATTTAGGAAATGGAATGTTAAATACCTAAATACAGAATATTTTTCCAGCAGTCAGATCATGTTCTACGTATTTTAAAAATTTTCTTCCCAGTATCCCATCTAACCCTGACATTATTACACCCTGACATTATTAAAACCGCCTAATCCTCTGGATGTTAGAAAATAGTATCACCTGAGGATTGGGATGGTGATATTTGAGAAAGCCCAGATGAAAATGCTGGTGAGGCAGAATGGGACTCGGATGAAACAATTGAACCCCCACCTCCTGGAGAGGAAGAGGTTCCAGACTTCAAAATAAGACCCTTAATTAAGACCAAAGCGCCCGAAGGACCCCAAGGAGGTCAGAGGAGGAACATGGTCAGAACCCCTCCCTGGGACTCCCCTGCAGCTGGCAAATCTACAGGAAAAATATGGACAAAGCCAGGGCAGTCAGGGGAAATGAGAGGAACAAAAAGCCTCCACAGGAACAACACCCCTCCAGCCCTTTGGAAACACAAAAGGGAAAAACCCACCGAGCACTGGGCGACCCTTGGGCCTTCTCACCAGGCACATTATGACTTATCAGTGGTCAGGCCCCTTATCTATTTACCAGTAGGACCTAGAAACAACCTTTGAATTTTCTGATTTACACAGGAGCTCAAATATCTCTGATCATCTGGAAAATTAAACTTAAGTTTCCAAAGAACAAGGGTGTGTTTAACAGGATTCAGCAGATAGAATGTTATACTGCAGGGTCTGTTTATGGTTACTGGGGGAAAATGGATGTCCTCACACACATCTGCAACCACAGATCATTTTAGGACATGATATCCTTAAAGGAAAAGTTTGGCAATTGCCCCATGGGAACGTTTGTCATTCGGGTCCGCAAAAAAACTCCAGGTAGCAAATTTTCTGGAAAAAATAGAAAAATTAATCTATTAAAAATGGCTCCAGTTTTACCTGCTTTGGCTGTGACTAATATCAAACAGTGCCTTATTCATCCTGCAGCCAAACAAGGGACAAATAAAGTAATTAAAAATTTAGAACAAAGGGATGTTGTATTTAGGATACACTCCTCATACAACTCCCCTGTTTGGCCGGTGAGGGAACTGGGTGGGAGTGGTGTTTGACAACGGATTGTCAGGGGCTGGTGCCAATACAGGACCACCCACTGCAGTGTCCCAAGCACTGCCAGCCTCAGGGCCACCCTGCCGGCAGCTGAACACACAGGGTGGCAGTTCTGGGTGTAAAAGGCTCGTTCTTCGTGGGGCCACTTCGGGAGGGAGATAAACCCCAATTTGCATTTCCTTGGAAGGGAACACAATACACCTTTAATCATCTGCCCCGAGGGTGTAAACATTCACCTGCAGCTGCTCACAACGCTTCAGCTGAACTCCTTCGACAAACAGAAATCCTGAAAGGAGCACAAATCCATCCATAAAATGATGGTGCGTTGATAGGAGGTGAAGAGGAAAGTGCAGTAAGAACAACAGCACAAGATACACAGAATAAACTAAACGAGGAGGGGATAGAAGTGCCCTCTGCCAAATGCCAAGACCCCTCTGAAGAGGTGACATTCCTGGGAACCTGGTGGATTGCAGGTCAGGCTGTAATCCTGCATGAAGCCATTACAAAATTGGATGCCATAGGCACTCCTACTCCTAGAAAAGAACTTCAAGAGACCTTGGGTACCTTAGGATACTGGAGAAATCACATTCCTGGGTTTTCTATTAACCTTGTATGCATTAATGAGGCAAAAAACAGACCTGGAAGTGGCTTGATAGTCACAAACAGGCTTTGCAAACACTGATAGAAGAGCTAAAAACATATCAGTCACTTGGGCCAGTTCACTCCAGTTATCCCATAACAGCTGAATTGGGGGTTGCTGAAGAGGGGACTTGCTGTAATGTGTTCCAGAAAGGCCCTCATGGACACAAATGGCCCTTAGGGTTCAGTTCCACAGCATTAAAAGACACTGAAAAAAGATACTGGGAAAGGGGATTATTATCTCTGACCTGAGCTCTTAAACAAATAGAAAAAATTAACCAGCGTCAGCCTTGCAAGTCCAAGGACCTTCCAACCTGTCAGGCAGCATGAGGAAGGGTGGTGCTGCACCAGGGGGGATTGCACAGAGACCAGCAGTGCACAGACGGTGTGCCTGTGTCTCATGGGTCACAGATCAAATGGATGTAACTGAAGGGCTGACAAAACCTTCCAAATTACAACAGCTGTGCCCCCAGACACGCTGGCTCTGAACCAGCCATAGAAAGAGCCCTGTACTTGATGCTCCTGCACTCACATCAGACTCTGAAGTTAAAGGTGTCTGCTCTGCTGATGCCTCAGCCAAACACTGCTGGTAAGTGGAAGCACAGAGCAGCTGCTCTTAACCTTCAGACAGGAAGGGAAGCAGGAGAAGAAGGAATGGGAAGTGCACAGGTGGGAGAGTTGAAAGCTGCACTGCTGGCAGTAAAAGAGAAGGCAAGGACAATGTGTGCTGATTCCTGGGCACTCTGGGCTGGTGCCACACAGTGCTTGTGTCAGGGGGAAGCTTTGGATTGGCAAGTGAATGGAAAAGAGGTTTGGAAGAAGGAAGGTTGGAAGTGGTTGTTGTTACAGGCTCAATGCCCACCAGTCCACACAGAGGGGTGAAAGCTCGTGCAGAGGATGGAGCCTTACAGACTTACTGGAACAACCAGCTGGAGCAGATGACAAAAATTAAAAAGATAAGAATTGATCTGTTGGAAGATCCTCAGCCCTGGTACCGATTGGGCAAGAGGCCACACTGTAAATGAGGGCAAACTGGACAGGGAGCTTTAGTTCTTGCAGCACAAAGTAGAGGGTGGCCACTGAGCAGAACGATTTGTAAAGACATTCTCACATAATGTCCCCAGTGCCAGTTAAGACTTGGACAAAATCACCCAGACCAGGCACCGCCTTTACACATCAAAAGCAACAAAACGCTCCGGTCCGCTCGGCAAATGGGTTATTTTGGTCCTCTGGGGACATCCAGTGGCTGCAGGGACACACGGACAGCTGTGGGAGTGGTCCCTGGGCTGTCACTGCCACTCACAGCAGACGGGCTGATGCCAAAGCTGCTATTTTGGGACTCAGTAGCTGGTTTTCCAGTCTCCCTGTCCCAGACTGCACAAAGTGACAATGGATCACAGTTCAGCAGTGTGATGGTACAAGATCACAAGGAAAGGTATCAAA